AACCCTAAACCCCTAAACCTTAAACCCTAAATCCTAAACCCTAAACCCTGCCCGCGTTCAGTTCTAGAGTCAGCACTCTGCCTTTAAAGGGTTCCTTAAAAGGGTTCTATAAGGGCTACTATAAGGATTTACGGGTTTTGGGGGGCCTTAGTAATTAGAGTCTTCCTTTTTTTGTGGGGGGGTAGATTGTGGCATAATTATAAGAAGGAGCCCACAAGACCCTATTCTAATTGTGAAGGCCCCTACATTATACTGGTTGAGGGTTTAGGTTTTAGAATTAAGCCCCTTCACAGCCCAGAGACTCCAATATCCCTTAACTAAGGAATATACCCTAAATTAAAGTAGGATTCCGAATATGATTTAAGGTATCTTCCTTAATTAAGGGATATTGGAGTCTCTGGGCCCTCAACCCTGCACCCAAACCCGGTTATGGTTGAGATTCTGCCATTCTGGACTTCGGTCTTGCAAGTCGCCTAACAAGGATGGTCCATGAACTGTCTCGGTCTAGATGTTTGGGTGGTTGTCCGAACAAGGGGCGCAGATGCCACTAAACCCTATTGAAATTTCTACGTCCCAAACTCCGGCAACCCTAAACCCTAAACCCTAAACCCTAAACCCTAAACCCTAAACCCTAACTCCGGCAACGCCACCCTTTAGCCCCCAAACTCTAAACTCCGAGCCCGAAGCCCTCAGTGACAACCCGCCCCCCCCCCCCGCCCCGGGCTCCGCCGCCCCAGAACACAGAGACTCCAATATCCCTTAATTAACGAATACACCTTAAATCATAGTCGGAATCCTACTATAATTTAAGGTATATTCCTAAATTAAGGGATATTGGAGTCTCTGGGCCTACCTTCGCTCGATGGCCAGGAAGCGAGTTCCACTTCTATGCAGGCACGGCTTGGATCTGGAGCTTGAGGTTTGTGGCTTTAGGGTTTGAGGAGCTGGGGGTTTCCGAAAATAGGGGACCCTAATATAGTACCCTAAATAATAGGATCCTTATTGCAAGGACCCCCAAATAAGGTACCCTAATTTTCGGAAACCCCCCAGCTTGTGCTGTAGGGTTGAGGGTGTGTAAGGCTGTATGGCTCTATGGGCAACCGTCTAGGGCTTTCGATTAACACGGCTGAGTGGCAACAACATCTGTTGTACTTCAAGTATATAGTTCCCCTAGGCCAATGATGGCAATTGCGGTAACCTTCATACCAGGGATTTCGGGCAGTGCAGTGTTTTGCCCAGCAGCAGCGGCAGCAGCAACAGCAAGTCACGTATGTATAGGGCTTTGGGTACTAGCACTTCTTTTCTTTGATCTGACCGCCTGGTTGAAACTGTTGAACAGCAACATCAAGAAATTGAATAGTAATCAATAATTAGTTTTCTTGCTTCTTTTCGGAGCCCAGCCCAGTATACGATAAGTTGGGAGCCCCATGTATTGTGGCCATGATGGTCAAAGTGTGGCTTTGGGGTGGATGATGGCTTGGCTGATCTTGCTGAAAAGTTCTATGATATCCGGAACGGTACTGTTGACGATATATAAATCCTGCAGTACCTTAAGGACCCTAAACTATGGTGTGGTATATTCCATATTATGGGTAATGCAGGTTCTATATCATCAACCGTATCAGGAACTGTAATTTCTAGCAGCTCAGACCCTGGGGTTTTGTCGTTTTCGGGTTCTGGGTTAAGGGCTTAGGGTTTTGGGATTTAGGGTTTAGGGTTTAGGGCTTGGAGACTTGACTTGGAGACTTTTTTGATTTGGCAAGATTGGTAAGACCACGTAGCAACTGTATAGGCACCCTAAGGAAAGATGAAGCAGGTTTAGGTCATGAAGGTAGGGCTTGAACCTAAACCCTAAACCCTAACCCCCAAATCCACAACCCCAAAGCCCTAAACCGTAAACCCCAAGCCCTCAACCCCAAGCCTTCAATCCCAAACCCTAAACCCGAAAAGCCGAGTTGACGGGGCTCTGCTTCAGCGCCCTAAACCCTAAACCCTAAACCCTAACCCATAAACCCCTGTGCCCGAAGGCCTGGGTAACCTGGGCGCGGGGAACCGGCGGAAAGATCTCTGCCAGCCCGGAGGATGCATGACTTAACTCGGGAATTACTAGGGTTTACTTTGGGTTTAGGGCTTAGGGTTTAGGGTTTAAGTTTAAGGTTGAGGGTTTATTTTGATGTAGGAGCCTGATTGAGCAACCCTGGTCCTTTAGCCCTAAAGTATTCGGATTTACATAAACAGCTCCGATTTAGACCCTATGTTTCTTAATCTTTTTTTGCTTTAGATTTGAGGAACAGCTTCTTAAGTTAAGGGTTCAGGGTTTCGGGTTGATCCTAAACCCTCAACCCTTAGCCCTAGGCGGCCTAGGCTTCGTCGGGGTTGCCGACTTAGGAGAGGGTGCTTCAGGATGGAAGAAGTCGAAGGTGGCGTTGATTTGTGTAGGCTCACGGGGTTTGGGTTTAGGGTTTGGGAACATCAGGGCCGTTACCAGGATTTGGAAATCGTGTAGGAGGAAGGTGCAAGAATCCTATTGCTTTGTACATGAGTCTGAAAACCAACTCGGGACAAGGCAAAGATGCTAAACATGCAGCTCCCCGGCGAGTCGGCCCACATGCTCATATCACAGACCCCTGAATAACAACCACTCCCCACCTTTCTTTAAGATCCATGGCAACTAGGCCCTATCGTTTCTTGATCCCTGTCCCTAAGGGTTTTAGGTACCCAAAAAGGCCCCAAAGTCTTTAAATAATGGGTACCTGGACCCTTGGAGTATCATACCCCCATAAGCTTATAAGGTCGGTTGCTTTTTTGATGAACAGGGTCCACAGAAGTCGTCTGGGTACCAGGCGGTGGCACGCCATGCTTTGTTCCAAGTGCGCCTGGCGACACCGGGGAAATGAAGGTCGAGTACCAGGCCGGGGTCCGTTTAATATAACTATAGGGGGCCTTAAGAATTAGGGTTTAGGGTTTAGGGTTTAAGAATTAGAATAGAGGTTTGGGGGTTCCTTTACTATGAATATAATAAGGAACCCACAGACCCTATCGTAATTATTGCGGCCCCTATATTAGGTTTGGGGTTTAGGGTTTAGTTAAATTAAAGGGTTTTGTCGGGTCTTTACAGGGTTGTATGGTGTCCTTGTGACATGTCATACCCTAAACCCTAAACCCTGTGGCGTTTCATAGAGCCTTCCTAAGGGTTTCGAGGTCTGCAACGTGTTGGGTTTCGTCTGGGTTGCGTTTCTATGTTCGGATCCCTCTTCGGGTCGATCCTCTTGGGTTTAGGGCTTTGGGGTCCAGGATTTGGGGGCTTAGGGTTTAGGGGTTTTGGGTTTAGGGGTTTAGGGGTTTCGGGTTTGGGGGTTTAGTGTTTAGGGTTTCTCGTTGAGGGCTTTGGTTTCAGGGCATTGTGGAAGTGGTATCGAAATGTGCTCCTTTGGGCCCGGAACCTAGATGGGGGCTTCAGCAAACTACTGCTGATGATATAAACCCTGCATTACCTCAAGGACCCTAGACTATGGGAAGTATTGTGCATTCCTGATTCAGGGTAATGCAGGATCTATTTCATCAACCGTAGGATACCTTGTGTAGGGTCGTTATCATTGCTACCCTCTAACTCTACGACCTAGATCCTGTTTCCTCCTGCTTAGTATACCAAGCTCAAATGTTTAGTAAAGTTCTTTCTCTTTACAGTCCTTTTTAAGCAGTATATGTGATAATGTACCCGATTCTACTTACTTACTACAGCCCTTTTATATGACCCTTGTTGAATGCATGTCTATTGTAGTCCTTGTTTTGTGTGTTCGAAAACCTACCCAAAGCCCGAGTCGAATTGTTGCTGCAACTCTTAGTTGACTCTTTGTCTACTTGGAGCTTTAGGGAAGTGTTGTCTGGTGAGAAACCCTTAACCCTACACCCTACATCCTAAACCCTAAACTCTAAACCCTAGACCCTTAACCCTAACCAAAACCCTAAACCCGAAACCCACACCCGTTGTGGGAGCTTTAGGGAAGGTTTGTCTGGTAACCCTAAACCCAAACCCTGAACCCTAAACCCTAAACCCTAAACCCTGAACCCTAAACCCTAAACCCTCAAACCCTGAACCCTACATCCTAAA